TACATTATTAATTCCTCTATAAACACTTTATAAATCATTAATATTTGCTTATTATGCATTCATGAAGGGTGACAAAGACAAAACACTACTTTCTTGCCAAATCTGTTCACCTCTATATTTCTTCTAGAGTTGTTATATTAAACATTTCAGATTAAGTTACTACCTTGTAAGCACAATAATCATTTGTAAACACGTTTTTATGATATAATATTAATTGTAGATACTTATAATGCAGTAATAAAGTACAATATCATGGTATATGCTAAAGAAATAGGTTTACAAATACTTATTGTGCTTACAAGGTAGTAACTTAATCTGAAATGTTTCATATAACAACTCTAGATGAAATATAGAGGTGAACAGATTTGGCAAGAAACTGGTCAGTTTTGTCTTTGTCACCCTTCATGAATGCATAATAAGCAGTTATTAATGATTTATAAAGTGTTTATAAAGGAATTAATAATGTATCTATAAACTATTTATTAGCCATCTATAAGTGGTACCCAAGTTTTTAAGAGTCCCTTAAACACCAGTGGATGTGCCTCCTGTTCTCAGGCTCTGTGGACCTGACCTACTGTGACGTTCTCTACAAAGACCTGAGTAAAGGTCTGGAGGGGCTGCTGCTCAACAGCTACCTGCACCTGGTCTACCTGGTGACTCCCTACGACCTGATCCCACAGTGCAAGCCCGACTGGATGATTTACTTCAGACAGGTAGACTGTCACCGTCAGACACAGATACATCCTCACCGCTCTCTGCTAACCAGCCGGCTCTCTTGCAGTTCACCTTGCTCTCGGCTGCAGAGCAGAAGATGTCGGCTGCTGTCGGCGTGCCCGAGAGTTTTGTTGCAAGAAAGGCTGCAGGCCAGACGGTGAAAAAGGTAACGGACGTCAAATTCAAAGTTTAGCCATCATCTATGGCGGTCATTATTTAAGAGCGTATTTTTATGATCAAGACCTGCTGTTCCTCAAAGCTCTTCCCTCACATTTTGAAAGCATGCGTCCACAGTTCTACAACATGACTGTATCAGACTTTTGTGTGTTTGTTGTGTGTCGTGTCTTTATCAGAACATGAACCTCGGGGTGGTGAGGCGGATGTACCTCTCTCTTGTGCTCTTTTCTTTGCTGAAGGAAACAAACGTGTGGAGCGTGGCTGAAAGGTTCCAGCTGAGCCGAGGCTTCGTCCAGACGCTGCTCACTTCTGCCTCGGCCTTCTGCTCCTGTGTGCTGCACTTCACTGAGGTACGGCTTCTGCAAAGTCCGGGACCTCAGTGCCAGAGCTGGATCCTTAAGACTTTGACAACATAAACATTTACTCAGCACTCAGATTAAAATAAATGCTTCTGTAAGTTCTCATTTCTTTTTAGTGTTGAAGGTTACAATTCTTACTTTGTGAACTTTGCAGTGTATTACCAAATATTGTCAGTAGGTGGCAGCAGCGCATGCATCACTAAGCACACACTGCTAGATGCATTCTTGCCTTTATTCAACCTTTATTTAAACAGGTCATCACAACTACACATCTGCACCAGCTGAACATCTAAAACATCAGATATTTGAAAATACATGAAAATAAAATTATAGTTTGAAAAGACAAATAACTAAAACCATGCATGTATGTTTATATTTACATTACATAGAAATGCACACATATCTGCACACTCATCCACAAACTGAACCAACAACTGACAGAAAATCAAGTTTCAAACTAAACATGGTAGCCCATCATGAACTAATGCAAAACAACGTGTTTTGAAAGGACATATGATCCACAGAAACATCCTGATTCATGCTCATTAATCCAGGAAGACCAGTCCAACAGAGTTAAGTCAGGTCCTCTGGATGGATTCTTTTTGACTCATTTACCATATTTTCTGCCGTACATGTCGCTCCGCCCTATAAGTCACGTCACATCAGTCCAAATATGTCTTTAAAAAATGGAAACATCCATAAATATGTCGCTTCGCCGCAAACGTCATATCTATTATGCGTCACCGCTGATGCGTCGCGTTTGTTACGTGTCACCACTGAAAACTCGGAAATGTGGACTGGTGTGGCAAAAATCGATTGGCTACCAAATGGCAGCCGCTGGGGCCATGCACGGGAGGACTTTAACAAGAATTTAACTAGATTAACACTTACAATCATTTGTTTTCTCAAAATTATTATAAAAGTGTGTCTCAGTCCAACGTTTGCTTAATAAATGCACTTTGATGGTCAAATCATCTGTATTTCAAAACCCGATTTGCGGAAGCGGTGAGCACGCGCAGAGGAATGAGCCTCCGTATTTCTTCAATATTTAACAAGACAAACACCTAAAAACAATTGCTTGTTTGCTCAAAATTATAGTAAAGCTGTGTCTCAAGTCTAATGTTTGCTTAATAAATGCACTTTAATGGTCAAATCAGCTGCATTTTGAACGTATTCGCTGCCTCGGTGCTCCGGGAGCGTGCAGACAGGGAGGACAAAAGGAAGGAGGAACGCTGCGCGTTTCTTCGAAATTTAACAAGGAAAGCACTTAAAACAATTATTTGTTTGCCTGAAATTATAGCAAAGGTGTGTCTCAGTTGAACTTTTTTAATAAATGCACTTTAATGGTCAAATTAGCTTAATTTCACCGGGGCGGTGCAGCGAAATGAAGCTGGTTTTGACGGTTGCTCCAAGCAGCGAGCAGAACGAAGGTGAGAGGCTTTGGCAAGCTGATTGTGTCATTAATAGCTGGTGAAGATTCTCAGCCATTCAGGACATGGTAAATTCAAAAAAAGTTCAAGACAAAAACAATAAAGTAAAGTATAATAAATAAGGTCTAGTTGTTTTTGTCTTGAACTTTTTTGAATTTGTCATTATAGCCACGTTTACCTATATACAATGGCATGCCTTACTACTGTGCTGCCATCTAGTGGCTGAAAATGGTAGTGTTCAATATTTTCCATCAGAATGAATGAAAACGGTCATATCTCAGCCAAAAATTGGTTTAGATATATGGGCAAAAATCCACAAACACGTTGCTTCAGTCTATAAGTCACAGGGCATGTAAATTATGCAAAAAACTGTGACTTATACAGCAAAAAATATGGTAACTTTGGCTCCACATAAACTTTCACAATTTTCCTGAGTGTTAGACAAGTGGAAGTAAACATTTTTATTTGAACTATGAAGGGAATTGATGAAAAAGTGCATCACCCAAGTTTGTGGTTTTGATCTGTAGAAGCAGATATTGAACGACAGCTGCTTTGTGTTTACCTTCAGGAGCTGGAGGAGTTCTGGCCATTCAAAGCTCTACTCACAGAACTGACCCGACGACTGAGTTACTGCGTGAAGGCTGAGCTGATCCCCCTGATGGAGGTGGCAGGAGTCATGGAGGTCAGCAGCAGCTGTCATGATGTTTCTCCTTCATCATGTTTAATTGTAACCTATATGTTTTTTCTTGTCCTCAGTCGAGAGCAAAGCAGCTGTACAATGCTGGCTACAAGACTCTGGCTCACCTAGCCAACGCTGACCCTGCCGTTCTCTGCAGGACGATAGAAAACCTCTACAAGAAGCAAGCCAACCTGATGGTGGCCTCAGCCAAAGTGAGTGTCCTGCTGCTGTGTGTGCAGGTGTCCAGTGATTTGAACCTTGGCGTAGAGACTCCCAGCAGGGCCTCAGGTTTTACTCACATGCAGTCCAGTAGAGTCTAATTAACACACAATGGTTCTCTAACCAGTCAGCTGTAGTTATTAATGTGTAGTGCAGCAGGGAGGTGCTGCTCTTAGGGATTTGGATCAGATCCAGGAGTCCAGCTGCAGGTATCTGAACCAGGACCATCATGATGTAATGCGTGTCCACGTTGTAAAGATGTGATGATAACCCATGGACACGTCTCTGTGTTGCAGATGCTTCTGAATGAAAAAGCTTCTGTTCTCCAGGAGGAAGTGGAGGAGCTGCTGGCACTGCCTGATGACCTGCCACAGTTTTAAACCAACAAACATTTGCACAGTCCTTTTTTTTTTTTTTGTCATCTGCAGATGCTTTTATTCTGAAATAAAATGTCTTCTTAACATAAGGCATAATAAGAGCTATGCTTTGTGTTTTTGTAAATTTCATCTGTTATACAGTGATTGGAAAGTTTCTTCATATTCAGGATCAATCTGCTGTTTTTCAGCTTAAAACCCTGAATTCAGTTTAACATAAGACTAGTTTCTGCTGAGCCTGCAAATGTTTCAAAGCAGTTTTTAAAATCTGTATTTTTGGAGCTACATATGGCATTTGCTGAACCTTAAAAAAATAAGCTGTGCCCTGACTAGAAAGCTGGGTGAAGAACATCTAGAGGTGTCTTGGGTTGTTTGGTACTGGGATGTTGACAGCACATGCTTTGTGCTCTGTACAGTTTAGGGTGTGGTCTTTTGCAGACTGTTTTTGCTTTAAACATGTTATTAGATGCAACCTGATGACATTTGTGGAGTTTTCTTTTGAACACATGATTACAATATTCAATTTAATTAGACAAATGACTTTTTGTAGAACAACGCAGCAGTTATTTAAGAAATACTGAGATTTACATTTTTCCCCCTCTGTCTTGTTGACCATGGGTAAACCATTAAACCGAAACACAAAAATGCCCCAATGCATAAGTTAAAGCAGCTGTGTACAAATTTTTGTTCTTCATCCATGGAAGAAGAACTTTGAGCAGGTGAGACAGTCCTAAAATCCTTCATTTCTATCTGGATCACTCCAGACCGGCTGCAACATCCTAATCTGACTAGCCTTATTCGCACAGGATTAGTTTTACCTAGGGACCACATGCTATTTGTAATAATTACAGAGATTGTCTGCGTTGTTAATCCCATGCGAATCGGCCATGTCAGTAATTTGTAAAGTAAAAATTCCCCTGCAAATGACCTACTATATTTTGCTGAATTCCAAGGTCCAGTGATAATACTAATCCAATGCGAATAGGCATCTCTGTGATTAGGACAGAAATGGGCGGGATCCGATCCATAAATAGACATTTTTTTGTTTAAGCAAAATCATTTGGAAAAATATAGAACAAGTCTATTTTAAATGAACGCGCTGCTCGCTTCGGCTTTTATGCTGCTACTTCCTTCACCGTAAATGACAACAGGTGCGGAGACGCACAAGATCCATCCATTCATTATATTTACCCGCTTCTTTCTTTTCGGGTAGCAGCTGTCGCTGGTGCCCATGTCCAGCCATCACTGTGTGAGAGGCGGGGGACACCCTGGACAGGTTGCAAGTCCATTTCAAACGGCGGGTCAGCAGATGCACGGCCGCTCACGCATGCGGCTGGTGAGACCTGCCTCCTCCTCCTCAAGTAGATTAACACAATTTTATGTTGTGCATTCTTTAGTTTTCTTTGTCCTGATTCATAAAACCACATCAAAGCCTGAGACCGGCTCGGCCCGCACATTATTATGGACCGGCCCAGTCGTGACAACGCAGCACGTTAGCATCATAACCAGAAGATGTCTGTAAATTTCAGCTAAATCTCAGGCTTTGGTTGTCCCGTGTGAATGTGCCACATAAAAAGCAGACGTTGGGGAGTAATTTATTGATTACATGTGGTCCCTATGTAAAACTGCAGGTGAATAGAGCTTTTGTTTAAACCACCTGAGGCTGAAGAGGATGGCTGATCTATTCAACTAAACCGCTCAGGGAGGCCACAGTTACTGAAAGCCAGCAGCTCAGGGGCCGGACATCCAGCGATTAAAGTCATTACGTAAATAAACCAAGTATTACAATGATCTGTTACCTTTAAATTTATTTATTTTCTTGTATTGAATCAAAAATACTGAAACCAAAAATTATTTTTTTAATGAAGTGGACCGGAAATGGTGCAACATTTGAATAGTCCTAATAGCTCAGGGGGCCACAGTTACTAAAAGCTAAGAGCTCAGGGGCCGGACATCCAGCTGTTGTTGTCATTAAATGTGTTGTACAATTTAAAATGTAGTTTTACTTAAAAAGGAACCCATTGTTGGGCCGAACTGAGCTCACTCGTGGGCCTGATTTGGGCCCTGGGCCATCAGTTGAATAGTCCTGTAGGTGATGAAGGGAACAGAAGACCAAAGGAGGAAGGAACAGCTGTGACATGATTTGTTCTTGAGCTTCAGTTCATCAGTCACCTATTCATTTACATCATCTGCCGTTCTCTTACACACTAAATTTATGTACGTGGAATAAGATATTAAATTCATGGACACTGAAGTAACGCATCCAAACGTACGAGGCAGAAAATAGGATTATTTGAACATTAATTCAATATTACTGTGAAAAGTTGTTCTGCATTACGAGTTCATTACAGTAAACATCATTTACTTAAATCTAGTGCTGACTTACCTGATCAGCCATAATATGATCAGCCATCTTATATGAGTAGTAAGCTTTTATATAAAATTAGGTTATTTTGTGAGAAAACTGGCTGCAACCTCTGAAATCCAGCTGGATGAGATCACATCCTGTGCAGACAGAAAAGATAAATCTGCTGGATAATCCATGTTTTGGTCACAAATACTTTTAAACTGGGCCTGAAATCCTGTCGTACCGTCTTGTCTCAGGTCCTAGTGATGAAAGTGGAGAGGGAAAAGTAGCAACGAGTCACAGAGTGCACAAAGGCCCTCAGCTGGCTGCACGTCTTCATGTGACCTGTTCTCCCTTTCTCTGATTTTTACTCTGAAATTAAATCATCGTTATCCCAAGGCAAAAACAGCTTGATATAAAACTACTGCTTCACAAAAGTAATCATCCGTGCTAATCACTGCTTAACTTATCCAGACCTCATTTGAACTTAACGTGGCATCAACTGGTTTTCTGTACGTGCTTACAGCCACTCACTGCTTCCAGAGTTCAGCTGTCACTACACAAGGTTTATAAACGGCAGCATCATTGTTTCAGTGTCTGTATCAAAGCTTTTCATGCTGTGAGTGAACAGTTTTACACATATTGAGCTAAATATTAATGTAGTAAAAGACTCAACACAGTGAGCACTAGTCTGTTCACGCTTGGATCCATCTTGGATGATTTGGTTACAGGAGGGCAGCTCTGACTGAGAGTGTTCAGACCTGGCAGCAGATCCATCTCGAAGCGTTTTGATGTCAGTTACCTGCTCTGTATGTAGATACACACGCAGCCATGTAACATGTGAGCCACAAACGGGACGTCGGCACGTCTGCAGGTGTTTCTGTAACCGTTAATGCATCCAGGTGTTGCTCAGTGTCAGGGGAACGACTGAAACTTTAACCTGTAAAGATCCACTACGGTAAAAGACGGTGACAGCCGTCAGCGTCACTGTGACGTCAGACCACTGGTGTATTCATTAAGATAAGACATGGGTGGTGCAGTTGGTAGAGTTGTTGCCTCTCGGTGAGAAGGTTGCTGGATTGAATCCCAGCCGGGGGGCCAATCTGGGTGGAGTTTGCATGTTCTCGTGGGTTTTCTCCGGGTGCTCCAGTTTCCTCCCACAGACCAAAAACATGCATGTTAGACTGATTGGTCACTAAATTGTCTCTAGGTGTGAGTGAGAGAGTGAATGGTTGTTTGTCTCTGTGTGTCCCTGTGATGGACTGAAGACCTGTGCAGGTGTCCCCCACCTCTCGCACAGTGACTGCTGGATGTGGGCACCAGCATGACCCGAAAGAAAGAAGTGGGTAAAGATAATGGATGGATAATAAGACACAACACTGCTCAGACTGTTGTTCTGTGGTTGACAGCACATTGTAGCTCACAGTGACCAATGTGGATCCAGATGTGGGCACCTTGAGGCCCGAGGGCCAAAAGTGGCCCTTGGACTATTCCATCAGGCCCCCAATTAACTTAGTTCAACTTTTTATATATATATTTTTTTTTATTTAAAAAAAGATTAATCAACAATACTTAAGGAAATTTAAATTAAACATCTTACGCAAAACTTTAAAAAACATATTTAAGTAACTGTGTTTCCAGAGTTAGACCGAACCGTAAAGATTTAAAAACACAAATACATAAGTTTGTTTTGCATATTTCCACTAACATGTGTAACATGTTAAGCTAACGTGTAATGTCACCAGAGCCAGCTTACAGAACATGTCTTATATTAAGATACTGGAAAAATCACTGAAATGCCACTTGATTGTTGATATATGTTGCTGATCTCATGCTGCTGATCTCATGCTGCTGATCTCATGCTGCTGATTGATTTCATGCTGCTGTGTTCATTCATACTCATCTGCTCACACAGACTCATGTTCGTGCTGCTGTTCGGCTTGTTGTTTTTGTACTATTAGTGCTTAGCATATTTTTACTTATTGTATTTCTTATTTCATATCTTAGATCTTATTACTGTTTTTTTTTTTAATTTTTTACTTTTGTTGGATGTAACTGGGACCCTGTGTACACAGTTTCACTCCACCGCATGTACCACATGGGGTGCGTATGACAAATAAAGAAACTTTGACTTTGAAAGATGTTTTTATAAAGCACGCTAACTATGCTACAAACAGAATACATCTGAAACAAGTATTCTAGATGATGTCATAAAGAAAATGTTCCAATTCGCTCTGCGTCCCTTTGATTACTTTAAACGTCTCGATAAGGTCCTCTGATGCAACCAGAAATGAATCAGAACAGACAAACTAACCTCGGTTAACAAAATTCTGACAGAGCTGACATTTTTATCGAGAGGGATTCGGTTTGAGCAGAACCACGACAGACAAGAGCTGCTCTGTCTGTGAATGAAATGGCTCTGCGATGAGGTCATGGACAGCTGTAGGGAAAGATTGTTTCTGGAGGAAGACAGCTGCAAGACGAGCACCTTCAGCAAAGCCTGAAGTGTCAACTCGTGACCTCAACCGCCGGGTTTGTTTTACTTTTCTGCAGATTTACATGATTACAGAACACTTGAACAATTCATTAGAGATGAAAGGTTAGATGATTCTGCATTGATTGGGTGAGGAGAAAACGGATGAAATAAATGAGTTATCAG